AGCGAATTACGCCGCGAACACCGAAGTCGCACAAATATGTCTCTCTTCCCGAAAATGGAACAGATTACACGAAATCGATAGATAGTTAAAAGCGCGGTGTAAACGAGATGTAACCGCGACAACGTATCACGGTTTACTTTCATATTTTAGATGAGTTAGTCTCGTAAAATATCCATGTACACGTTAATAAAGAGCCGTCGCCTCAACACGCAATTCGTTTCTCATTACAAGTTGTAGAAACTTAATAATTAATCTAGTAGCGTTACTTGTCACTGATAAAGGAGTCCAAATCAATAGCGTTTTATCCTTACATTCTTCACGATCGAGTCTTGGAAACCGACAACGCAAAAATAATACCAAGCACGGAGCGACTCGCGCCACTGCTTGCCGGCTCGACGTTCGGCGAGCGAATGTTAGCGTGGCGACCTTCAGATACACGATGGCACGCAAAAACGTCGTACGTCACCGCGCCGAGTGAAAAACAACAAAAAAACGTTGAGAATTCGTTGGCCCATCTACGTAATGGAAAATTCCGTACTTATCACTCGCTCGCCGAACGTCGAGCCGGCAGGCAGCAGCGAGAGTTGTTCCGTGCGTGATATTATTTTTACGTTACCGGTTTCCAAGACTCGATCGCGAGGAATGTAGGGATAAAACGCTATTGATTTGTACACCTTTATCAGTGACAAGTAACGTTACTCGATTAATTATTAAGATTCTAAAATTTGTAACGAGAAACGAATTGCATGTTGAAGCGACGGCTCTTTATTAACGTATACATGGATATTTTATGAGACCAACTCATCTAAAACATGAATGTAAACCGTGGTACTTTGTCGCGGTTACATCTCGTTTACGCACCGCGCTTTTAACTATCTATCGATTTCGTGTAATCTGTTCCATTTTCGGGGAGAGAAATTTGTGCGACTTCGGCGTTCGCGGCGTAATTCGCTCTGTCGTTCTTCGCAATTCGAACGGGCAGGAAGTAAACGTCGCTTACTGCATTTCACGGTATTTTACATCGCGTACGGGAGTGTCCGAAATTTCGCGCGATAGATTTTCGCGAGTTAGTGCTGTGAGTGTAAGTGCAACAAGAAAATCTCAGAGGAGGGAGCAGGCCTAGGCGGCATCGGGCAACGGCAGAGAAATCGTAAGGTAAGTGTCATTACATTTTTGTTATTTGCTAATTGTGCAAAATAAAGCATCTGCTCTGTGCTTTTATTTTATTTATTCAAATGATTCGAACGTGGATTCGAATAAGTGTTAGAGACAAAACCATACGTATAAAATTTTGTAAGTTCATATTTAAAAGGAAGACTTTCAGTATTCTATATAATTGTTTTAATAAATACCCATTTTTTTTAAATATAAAATATAAAGTATGTTTAATACAATAGTTTCGATTTTGCATAATTAGTCTATAATAATCGTATACGTATAAGCCGCAACAATAGAGATATGCGACTAATCGACTTACATGCCTTTTTTAGAAGTGGATTCTATTTTATTCGCGTGTGAACTAGCTGTACGCGATTTAAACAATTTTTCTACTCCGCATTTAAGCAATAGCGCTATCAAGCTTGCATATTTAAGTCGCATTAATTATACATTATCTGGAAGTTTATTAACAGCGAGATTGTTTATATAAAGCAGGACGACATATCGATGTGCGCCTATGACATATGTTTGACATTTTCATGTTATTTCACACGCGCTATCCGTGCACAAATAACTTACATTTCTTTCAATTTCTTTAACAGATATTCGTTACGAAAAATAAACAATAAAGTAACAAATTAACCAATTCGCTACGCCCGTGATTTTTATCATGCTTGTACAAATAGAAAGAACGATTGATATTTAATTACGATGATGAAAATCAAACCAATTTATTAAGCAACTCTTTTGTTCTGCGTTGCAAATAATGTTACATGACAGAACAGTACAAACGTATCGGAATAATAATAATTAATTGATTGAGATTCCACATTGATTGTCTTTTACATCAGGGCGAATTTCGGTCAAATCTATCGGAGCCGCGAGCACCTTGCATACCAAAAGGCATTTCCGCTTTCAATGAAAATTGATGACTATTCCGTCGAGATCATACCAACAACAATGTAGAAAATAGTACGCTTCCCAGAAGAAGTCTTCAATTATGCCTCCTGACGCTAATGCGCGCCTGCAAGTTGTACAGTTATCCGATACTTAATTATCCAAAGTAATAAATCGATTTCCGCGGCGTTGTCCCATCGTTCGTATAGTTCGAAACAGTACGAGACAGTCCGCGTTTAATATCGTTTGACGTCTTTTAACGTCTCCAATGAATTACATAATTACGACGATTGAATCTGATAAAACGAGTTTAATTTCCTGTGCTAGAAAATTTGATGCACAATTTAAAAATAGCCAGAGACACTTATTTATAAAAAAAATTTGTACAACGATACTCGGATCAGTTTTTTTACATTAATTTACGTTGTTCTGAATTTATGTAAGTACCATGACATCCAAATTAACGAATAACAATCGTGTTCGTACGTTTCCCAAAGACGGTGCCGCAACGTTCAATCGCTATGAGTTTAACTCCAAGTGTTCTGACAGGCCTTCAATTAATCGTAGAATTGTTGGGAAATTATTTGTTTATTTCAAGGAAACAGGAAGCATACAGTCACGACAGCGACAGCTGTTTGGTTTCTTTCTTCTTTCGTTGATTTAGGCAGTGTGGGGGCACAATAGTTTGAACAAAAATTAAACCTCTTATGGCTGGCCTTTAGTGCCTGATTGAAAATTTTTGTGTATGTAAATTTTATGTGTTACAATACACAAAAATTTTCAATAATTGAAACGCTATTGCAAAAGTCCTGCATTACTTTTCCTTCTGACAAACAGTTATTGAGATATCGTAAGTTAAACATTAAAAAAGTTATCAATTTTCTCTTGAATATCTCAAAAAGTATTAGGCAAATCAAAAAATGTTTCAGACAAAAGTTGTTCATATTAATTAGTAAAATGAGATAGTATAATGTAGGAGGTTCTATTAAGAAAATTGAAGGTGGCCTTTCACATGACCATCAAATGACTATCCAAGGTCAAGTCAATGGCACCACCTTATGTCCCCCCCTGAACCAAATAACTTTTGTTTGAAACGTTTCTCCGTATCTTTCATATTTTTGGAAATATTTGCGTGGATCATTTAAAATGAGACACTCTGTATATACACATATTCATTTCCTTGCAAACTCGCTACATAGCATTTCCAACAATTATTTTAAACCATTCTGTAATTGTTTCAGGAAAACTATCAACCTGGAAATCATCGAAGAGGACTCTTACGAGAAGGATGCCCTTTTCTATGTCGAATTAGGCGAGCCCTTGCTGCAAGGAGGTGATTAAGTTTTTCAATTCGGGATTTCCCAATACACTTTAAAATCGTTGTGACAATACTTGCTTTTCCTTTCTTCTTCTATGTAGGATCGGTCGTTTAAATCGGTTATGCGAAACAAAAAAGTTCCTCAGACGTTTGCAAACAATAAAACGTGAAAACAATAGTTGTAGGGCATGGAGATACATTATTATCTTTTAATCATCATAAATATTTCAGTTGTTCTTTTAGAATAAATGCTAAAAAAATGCTAAAATGTAGCATTTTAAATATAATTACAAATCGTTTATCGATTTGGATATGTGAATTTGCTGACGATAATAACTCCACCCGTAAGAAAACTGCGTTATGTCCGGAAAGAAACCGGCACGCAGGACAAATGTGGAAAGAAACGGTGTACGAATTCACATTTTAAAATATAAAAATTACAAGTTGGGCTACCTACATCTTGCCTTGTGACCCACATTGGCGTTTTCTCATATGTTGTTTAGTTGTAGGGAGTCTCACTTTAAGTTTATTATTTTTTAGAATAAGTTCCCTAATAAGAAAAATATATTAAGAGATAATTTTTTGGGATTTATTTTTCCCCGAGGAGCTTTTTTGCCGCGTTTGTAAGAAAACCCGGTGCTCAGATTTAACTGCTTCATATGAAGCGAATAAGAAGCGAAATCTCGGTCCAAACTTTCGGCATTTGATTTCGATAGCGCCGTCACTTGCTTACGTTGTTCTTTTCATTCGATCCGATGCCATTTTTGCTGATACAAACTTCGGCGGAAGACCTTTCAGCCTCTTGACGAGGATAAATGCGATGGGAAAACTTTGAATCTAACGGAAACACCACGTGAAAACTTGTCTATTTCTGGGCAATCATATTTGATAGCGATAAAGATATGAGTTTTAACATGTACATATCAAATTTGAAACAGTCTTATAACGAGCCTTCGATATGTACAAGAGCTATTAATATTTACAGAGGGCAATGTAAAGAGCATATATTCTCAATACTATATCGCGTTATTATCTGCGTAAAATGACTTTTATTTGCCTATAAGTATTTTCAGTTTAGCTTTGAAAAAAAGCTATAGTTAAAAGAAGCTTTAATAATTACGGAATAGCCGTATCCAACGTAACATTTAAAAGAAGAGGAAATGAAAAAGGTAAATGTCGATCGGTAAAAGCACGAGCGTGACGATTGGCGACGCTATTAAGATTAATCGCGATTAATTATGTGATTAAATCGATACCCATTTCACGATAAGAACGCTGACGACTTGTTCTTGATGAAAATTGATTTCCACGTGTCTCTTCATGCATGTATCACGCGCTGGTTCTCTGCCTGGATCCGTCATAATTGAACGTAAGTCTTGAATAAACGGACATTTTGCGCTTGTCCAAATTCTTTTTTCTTGCGCATCAATTAGTCCTGCGCTGATTGATTCATTAATTGTCACAGTAGTACGTACACATTTTAATACAGACGGGAGTTTTTATTCCCTGTGAATTATCGTTTCGTGATATTTTCAGGAATTTCACAGCAAAACCAGAAAGGAACAAATATTTTTTTATAATTATTAATCTATAATATATATGTATTAATTAATATTGAATATGAAATTGTCTTAACAATTTTATGTATATAATAATTTTGTCTATATATTGCTTTTTAATAGCTGAGCATTTTTGTCATTTTACATTTTCAAATATAAATTTTGATATAATGTATAAATTGCAACACTTAACTTCGTTAGTCTTCCACTTTGTATGTTTCATTATTTTATTATATATTTATAATTATATTTGAATAGAAATACAAATTGTTTTTGTTAATAATGTTTCAGTAATAATAGAAAGGTAATCTCTTAGTCTGGATGAGGAAATCGAGTTTTATTTATTCATGTATTTATCTTACGTGAACTCGGGATAAGGAAATCGAGCTTTATTTATTTAGTTATTTATCTTACATGAAATCTGAAACACAGGCTTAAAACAGTCAGGTAATGTCCGCTGTAGTGCTTCCCCATAATTATTAATGGCTTTGCCATAACACACGGCTTCATAATAATTAGTAGAATAGAACGTTTCTTGAAATAGATCGCTTATTTCGCTAAAATGGTAAATTAACACTAAACTTAAAACTAAACAAACTAAAATAAAGATGCGAAGATAATGCCAATTGCCAGTTTTTCTCAAATTACATTCTTGTAATTTGAGCGATAAATTGACGTGTGTGTGTACGATTTTTCCAACACTAACTGCATTAACAATTTTACCCTAATCTTCGCGATTATTTGCGATTAAGAGTTGCAGCACCAAAGCATACATTTTATATTAATTACATATTTTGTCAATAACTCAGGTTATAAATGTTATGTACAGCGTGTTGCTCTTAACGTCACCATCCAAAATACCTCTGTTATTTTTAATGGGAAGGTCTTTCAGCAGTTGCGCACGTTTTAATAGGGTAAATGTTATATTGTAATAGCTTGCTGAATACTTTTCAATGTTTGCTATAACATGACGTTAATATGTCAAAGTACATGATTTTATTTTATTATACAGAAATGACATGGCATTTAAAAGAATATAATCTTGAATTAAAAAAGAACTAAAATTTTATTAATTATAATATCTATTTTTTTCGAACTGACTTCTCTTTGAAAGATCTTTTCCATCTTCGATGAAAACAATGGAGATATTTGGATGGCCATGTTAAATAGGAAACCATAAGACGGAAGATATTAAAGATAAAAGAGAGTTACAAATATCTGTATTTTTTAAAAGCAATACATATATTTCTATGTACATTTTTTTATACATTTTACTTCACGCGTGCATTAAATTTGTACGTGGGAGGAAGCGAGAGACACTAAAAATAAACAACATATCAAACTGTAAATAATAATTAAATAAATGGATATCTAAATCTAAATCTTCGGCAATTTGAAACATTAAACAATAATCTTAAAATTGCGCCTGCAAAGTTTACCCAGACGTTGATATCACGTGGAATTTTCCGCAATTTTCAGCATTTTTTTTGTATCTTAGTTGACTTTTTTATTTTAACTCGATACATCTCGGTGCAACGGAGCTTTTGATCCGGGCGTCTTTTTCTCTTCGGTGAATAAAAGCCGCCGTCCGATTTTGTTTCAACGCCCGCGTCCACGCGCAAGTCGCGATTTGCATACTACAAGACCGCGAGAACACGTGCAACGAGCGATGCAATAACGCTCATGCATATGCATTAACATATAGAATGCACTGAAATAGAATTAAAGATTCTCTTAAGTGCATCTCTTTTTTTTTTTGGTCAGTTTGAAAGCAACTTGTCTTTCGGAAAAACTCTTTGCGAGAAGTTGTAATTCCCGTTACTTTAGTAGCTTGGCTACTAATAATAAATTACTAATTAAAATCTGGTTGAAATGGAAAGAGTCTACTCAGAAATAGTCAATTGGAAGGTATAACGCCGCTTCTTCTTCTGAAGTTAGCAGTGTTCCGGTGCGCTTGTCGAGGAATGTCAAATGCAGGTGCAATAGTACCTCGCACCAGGTGCTCGCGTGAGCGATGCACGAACGACGAAACCCATGTATACTTCCGCGATTCATCTCGTTGAGCGGGGGCTCCGATATCGCGGCGCCTTGGATAACGCGCTAATGCCGATGGTACTTAAACTTTGAAGGCTCATAACTCAGGAAGTTCTTAACGAAAGGGCTTATAACCACTGTTCCGCAAACACCTCCGCAACAGCTATAAGAACAAAAGTGAGGGCTTGCCACTAGAAAAATCCCAAGACCCCAAATCGTTGCTTCTTTGCCTGTACAAAATTAAGACGCTCTCGTCTGAAGTATCCTTTTGCGAAATGCACTCCTTTAGAGATGGCCGAGACGGCATATGCATGTTTACGTGTATAGCATTTTAAAATACAATTCTAAGGGAAGATGATATCGCGCCAAACTATAAGTCGAAAGTATACGATAAGATTACACTCCGTTTTCTACGAAAAGTATCTTTACACTTAGTAAAATACTTACGTTTTTGCGTTCGGAGTGAGGTCTTCGGTGATAAAACGATTGCTAATAGCGGCGTCTACCTACAATTACAGTTACACGGCCGACAGTCTCAAAATTGCACACTGCGAGGCTACAAGCGTTATTATGCACAAGCGGCAATCTGAGATACGGATATACATTTGTGCGCAGGCTGTACAACTTTACTGTACATACACAACCGCGCACGAAATAATAAAATGGCATTGATAGTTTGTACGCACGTGTCATTAATAGTTGCGTTTTTACGAAAATCATTTCAAACATCTCGCGCACGTCACTGTAATTCATTTGGCGTGGAAAGTTGAGAATCTATCCGGAATCGTATGTAAATAGCATGCTTAATCAATTATACGGGTTCAGATAGATTTGCAATTTTCCATGCAAAGTGAGGGTTTACCCCAGAGAGAGAGAGAGGGTTTGCATAGCTTGCGGTCGTCCGCTGTCTTCAATGCGAAACGAGGTCTATGATTGTACGGCTCCACTGGGATTTTCAACTTTCCACGCCAGGCGAATCCAGATGTCGTGTCCACCTGCTTTCCATGCATAAGGTCTGGCACTTAAACCATTTCTAAAACAACACGCCTATGGCGTACTGCAATTAAACTATCATATATAACAGCCGTTTCGCGTAAATGAGACTTTTGTGAGTGCAAAATTTCACAATTTCGTTGACTAATTCGTCGATAGATGTTCCGATCGTAAGGAACGTTATATTTTCCACTCAACTACTTTTCGCACGCCGAGTGGATGGTTTTTATTCTTTATACATACATTTGTTTATACAAAAGGACACCGACCGGTGTGCGCTTGCCGCAAAATTTCAATGGAATATCTTAAGCCAAATGTTTACGAGTATTTTACACGAGTAAAAATGCGCGGAAAGAATCTAAAATAATTTTCATAACGTGCATGCAAGTACAAGTACTTGCGTCTGCAAATCTAGAATAATTATTTTAC